ACTGTGTCAAGGCATCATGTCAGGTAGTATAGCAGTACACTTCAGAACTCTTGAATAGTGAAGTGATTTATAAAAATCAGTACTGGCTGGAAGCAGCCCTCCCATGATGCTAATGACCACCTACTTTCTCATCTCCTTTATGAGTGTTTATTTACAAAGGAGCTCTATCAAGTTCTGTGTGTAAAGTCATACCACTTCATGAATGCTCTGCCTAACAGGTGCCTAAATTTTTTTTTGCATCATTAACCAGTAGCATCTTACACTGAACACTGGAAAGAGTGCACAACACTTGAGAGATTTGTGAAGGAGTAAAACCAGTAAAACTGTGGTGGAGGGTTTCATTTTTGGATTCAGACAAAGGAGAATATTTCATGAATCCATCCAAAATTCTACTAATGAATGTGATCAGAGCTGCACTTTGTTCTTGAAAGAAGCAAATGCACTATCTTGTTATTTACAACAGAGCTTTGCTTTGCAGGTAAACATATGGGAAAAAAACCCAGTGACATTCTCTTAATGGAGTTATCAGATAGAAAGGTTCAGTTTTGAATCTTAGTATTTTTCCACATGAAAAAAAAAAGGAAAAGAGATCCTTAAACTGTGTATTCACAAACACAAGATTACAAAGGAGGAAAGGGCACAGCAGAAACACAGCACTGTGGCTGCATTCAAATTCTACAACTCCTGAGCTGCATTTCAAACTTTACTTTCCACCTCAGCCTTTACCTCCAGATCATGCTACGTTACTTTCTCACTGTCTGAGGCAGAAAAATCTGAACAAAACAGAGCAGGCATGTGTTTGTGCCTCTCTGTGTGTGTCAAACAACCAAGATAATTTCATGCATTAGAAAATATGACAAGTACAATTTACGAATGCTTGATCAGAGTGAAGCAAAGCCATGAGTCAGCGATGCCATAGTTAACGAGTGAAAAACTATTCCATCCCATTCCATGTTCTGTACACGGCTAGATGAGGCTGTTATACAAAGGCAGGAGGTTGTGCAGCCACTCCCCCATTACACAAATACACTTAGTAGGCAGTGCTCAACAAAAGGGTGGGGGCAAGAAGGTTACAGCTCCCCAAGGCTTCCTAATAAATCCACCTCTGCTCAACATTTTACATAATGATATAATGCATTACATTATTATAAGCAGTGACATCATAATAAAATACCAGAGTGCTACTCAAGTGGCAAGGAACACCTAAGATATATTTCTATACATGTAATTCAGTTCCTGTATTTTTTAATTATAGATAAGAATTTAAAGTGAAAATAATAATTCATTCGATAAATACTGTTGTAATGGATCCCTGGCATATAATTAAGAGGCCTTTAATTTTAATTTTGTATACTGAACGCCTGGTTTTGGAGGTATTCCATATTCTCTACTCAGGGCTGTACCTGCAAAGCTCTAAGCTTCTATTTTAGTGGAAGCTGAAGATGCTGCATGGTTTGCAAATTTAAGAACTCAGCTTTTATAACGATGGATACAAGTAACATTCTGCGTCAAATATGTTGCAAGGCATTTTCCTTCCTTCTAATTGCAATCCATTACAATTGTGCTGTCAGTGTTCTTTGACCCTTCTCAGGTTGCAGCACCATTTTTTAACCCATCCTTGCAATACGGCCAGTAATGACAGAGCATCTTCTTTCTAAAGTGCCTGATACCTAAAAGAGGGAACCTACCACCACAGCATTCAGCATTTTCTAGAAACTGATCTCTGTGATGGTAGAAAAATAGTTAGCCTATAATCTCACTGATAATGTGAAAATGGATGTCTCCAGTTATTTGCAACTGGATATACAACCTTTCAGCCTACAGTAAAGATTAAAATCACTGGCACATGATTATTACTAAGTGAGGATAGCCTTTCTGAAAAGGTAACTATTTCTCAATTCTAGTAAATACAGACACATCTTTAAAAGTACAACAATAACTGGCACCTTTTTGGCAGACTCAGCAGGCAGGTCAAAGATTGTCTCAGCATGTAGAATGAATTAATATTTCTCTCCCAAGAGTGGGTCCTTCTAGAAAAGGCTTAAGGCACATTGGTGGGGCATTCAAAAGAAAGCTGGAGAAGGGGGTGAAAACTTTTGTTTATATGCACATTTTTCAGATTTAGATCTAGAAACATTTAAGTGTTTTAATGTTTTAATCATCTGTGAAAAACTCCACCCTTCCCTGTCCATTCCTTGTATGTCTGGTCTCCTCTATAGCCCACCACACTCATCCTAAGCTGTCTTCCCCCATTTTGCTCTGTACTCTGCCCTTCTGCAGGACTTTCTATGTCCCCATCCCTGCCTTTAGGCCTTCATCCCCAATTCCTCGTCTTCTACTCATGCTCCTAACCCTACTTTCCTCACTCTTCCTACGCCACTTCTGAGTTTCTTCCTGTGTGTTTTAGCTCCTTATCCTCTAGGTTTAACTTCTGTGCATCTGCTGCTTGCTTTCTCGGAAGCCGAAAGGAATTGCAGCAGGCCCTGCTCTGTTCCAAGAAATACTTTTTGAATATCAGCCATACTTATAGTGCATATAGTTTAGGAAGTGCTCGTTTCCTCCACTTCTTGCTGCAATAGGGTTCAAAGCAATCACTTTGCTTTTGCCTCCTCATGCTCACAAGTAACAAATATTCCCTAGTGCTGCATCAAGCTGGCACTGACAGTTTACAGTGCTTCTGAATTCAGATCTTCTTGTTTGGTCATGCTGACACATCTTCAGTAATAAAAATACATTCTGAAGATTCACTATTTGTAACTAGCCTGCAAGTATTTATGCTAAATGAATAAGGGTAAAAAAGTGACTAACTCAAATAACAAGGGTTGAAACAGAGAACTGATTTAAAATGTAGCCTTCCTAACACCCAGATAGAGTTGCTGTCTGACAAACAGATAGTAGGAGGACTACTCCATTTTCAGTGTCCTCATGGGCATAATATGGTGACCTGAAAAGGCCAGAGCACAATTTTCTGCTCACTTTTCTTCCTGTTGTGAACCTACAATTGTAAATGCAGGTTGGCAGAAGTGGCTTGCCTTGCTGGCTCCTCACAGGCAGATCTAATAGCAGCGACTGCAACTTTCACATCCCTGAAAGAATTAGTAACCACTGTGCCTCCCTCTGATTCTCCTAGACATTGCATCGTGCCTAGATGGCATTCTCTCACCCAGAACCATTGCTCCAACAAATCTGTAGTACTCACTGCTTAGCCTACATTCAAATCATTCTAGTCACTTAAAAAAACATCTAAAAGGAAATAAACACCAATTAAGGCACAGCCACTTTAATACAATAAAGATCAGCTCCGAACATCATTTCCTTGCTTTCTATCAGATAAATCTCCCATTTTTGAACATTTCATTTTGTACTTAGATTATGTCTTCTCAGATAAGCTTTAAGCATTACCATCTGTTCTGCAGCAATCACATGATCGTATCACTCTGATTCAGTTGAATACAAATCCCTTTGACAATAGGGAAACAGCAAAATAACACACATTTGTTCAAAAACTGCCACAACTGTAGATTGTTCAAGGGCTGCTTTATAGTAGAGGTAAAAGACACAGGGAGACTCCCCTGCACAACTCCTGTCTTCGCCCCATACTGTCCAGGCAGTGTTCTGGCACTGAAGCTCCTTGTTTGCTAGGGGGATTGAGTCTGTGTTTCAGCTGTGTTCAGCAGCCCCAAGGGCTGAAAGCTCAGCCAGGGCTCCATGCCTCTGCATGCCTGCTAGCGTTTGGAAGCAAATCCTGAGTCAGAGGGAATACACCTTTCTCTTGCAGATGTAAGAGCACTATAGTCACACCTCTCAGCAATCTCTGATGCATTCTTTCCGCATCTGTCCTCTGCAGGCAACTGGCCCGCAGCCACTACAGTTGGCCATTGCAGCAACAGATCTTCCCTGCTGGTTTCTAGGAGAAAGGCAAAAGCAAGAGTTTGTACTCACTACTGTGGCTACATCTATTAAGAAAACTCCAGTGAAAGGCTGGTGCATATTATGCAGATATTTGGAGCATTCTACTCAGAATAATTTCCCCATTGGGATGGGGATGTGATTCAGATTCAAAATGCAGAAGACAGTGTAAAATACTTCTCTTTAAGATCTGAAAGAAGCATAAACTGTACCATCAAAGTCACTTGCTCTTTCTAGTTTTGCATAATCAGACAATATATATAATCTGAGAATCACTAAAAAAGCATTGCAAGTCTTCTCACTATGTCCATCTACACTCCTCAACAAGGCATTACTAACATTCTATCATTTGGAAGGTAATGTCTCCTTATTTTCACCCACTGGATAATTCTCAGGGGTAATGTTTCATCTGTATTTGTCGTTGAACACATGAACAGATTAAACTGCTCTATATTGATATTTATAACCGATTGAAATTTAGGATATTAATTTATTATGAAGGAAAAAAATAGCAATAAACATATGTACTATAAATTCTAGCTGAATTTGGTATTATGACTTTTCTAATGTCATATAAATTACAGACAAATGCAACATTTCGTTATCTTATTTTAATGGCATTGAAAATTCACTGAAAATCACTGGAATATGAATTTCTGTATGAGAACTCTGAGGATGAGAACAACAAAATGCTCAGATTTCAATGGTGCAAAGACAAAAATGTCTTGGACCATGCACCATTCATTTGCCTTTTAGCATCTACTTAAACTCTCCAAGTTTGTAAGCTGTTTCAATAGTTAATCTGCAAGCAGTTGGTGAATGTAAATCTCTCAGAAGCATGTTATCTTTTTTTCTATCAAGCTGAAAGGGAAAGGGTGATTCATTTTAAGTGCATTGGTGATAGAAGAGTTCTGAATACCATTTTATCTGCAATACCCTACTTGAAAGGAACGACGTGCAAGTTAAACAGTAACAATGAATGAATTTTTTTCAGGGGTGGTCCTCTTGGAAAATGTTAACCACATTAAAGGAGATAGTTACTGAAATATGCAATCAATTTTAAGTTGATAGAAGTTGAAACTGTCATTCACCTGAGCAGGTGGTGGAAGAACCTTCTTGCATATCTGCTGATTTGGTCCCTGTACTCCAGCACAGTTGTATCCAAGAGGGGTCTTGTTGGAGCATAAAAGGTTCCAAGGCTTGCCTCAAGCTGTGCTGTGGAGTTCAAAGACAGCAGCAATGAAACAAGTGAAACTGTTTCAATTACAACAGGTTGCTCATGTTTGCAGTCAGTCAAATTCCTCAAACACTGATGAAATGTGATGTTGTTGCAGGACAGATGAAATTAAAATATGACAGATTGTACAAACACAAATGTGCATATAAACTTTCACTTTGAGGCAGAGTTGACAGGGACTTTAAGCAACAGAAGCTGTCAAAAGGATGGAGAAGTCTATAACACATCCAGTTCTCACCAGCAGCGTACAATTAAAAGTGGCTCATAAGAGTAAAATAGTTTGAACAAGTTTGTCCCGTAGAGATCAACTTTCAATTAGCTCAAATCATGTTTGTCCTCTTAGGCAAACAACAGGGAAGTTCAGTTTTTCAGGGATTGTTGTGTTAGGTCAGCAGGTGACAGAACCCTTCTTGTGATAGCCTTGAGGTCTAAGGAACCTCCTTCAGCCCACAGTTCTTTAAAAACTTTAAATAAAAGGATCTAGAAACCCTAAGGGTTTGACTCACCTACAGCATGTAGTGGTGGGAAACAGGATAACCTCCCTTGTAATCAATAAAATTGTTACAGAAGTTCTCTCCACTTTAAGTAGTTTCTGATTACTATATGCCCCAGCTGGAGCTCTTAGACAATTTTCTACATGTTTTTCACAGAAAATTATAAATAATACAAGAAAGTATATAGAGTATATGCGTGTCTCACATGCTTAGGTGACAGGAAATTTAATGATAAATAATATTTATGTCATATGTCTTCTACTTGAGTGATAATATGTAATACAAGTCCTTATAGGCAGAACAGAGAGAGTTTGCTATATATTTGCTATATAGGTTCTCCTTTCAGAGGGAATATGCAAACTGCTACAGCTAATCAGAATTTTGTCTGGGCTTTAAAAGCAAAATATAACCTACTGTCTCATTAGGCAGACAAAATCTCATTGATGTGCTATTATTAACATTTGTTTGAACTAGCCATTACTGTATTTAGTGATAATGGTTCTTTATTTCCAAACATATTTACATTTTATTTTATTAGGCTTGATAGCACTAAATGTGCTAATAGTACTGTGTTAGGAACACAGGCAAACTGTTAGTAAATTAGGCTTTGCATTATCTTAAATCTAGACAGTAAGATAAGTTGAACTTTAAAGGCATTTTCTTTCAAAGCAGCAGTCAATTTAGATTAAAATTGAATACAGCAGTACCTTTGCAAAAACAAGCCATACTCTCTTGCCATTGCTGTTTTCTTGACAGCATGAAATATTTCAGTGTACATGGAATACGAGTAACTACTAGCACAGTTATAGACTCATTAGATAGCCCAGCTTGATGTTGAAGGCAGAATAAAGATCTCAAAGATAACTGCCCCATCACTATAAATAAAAGCGCCCACTGGGTTTTGCTAATAAAAAAGAAAACAAATTACCATGCCAAATTTGTTAGATTCATATAGAATAACTCCTGGACAGAATGAAAATCTGGCTGCTGTAAACAGTGTTAGGGAGCTGCATGGGGGGAAACACACAGACATCTATTTATAATGTGCATATTTTTACAAGAGTTTGAAAATCAGCCTTTTTCATGGGTCCTTTTAAAAGCATGTTTTATTTAGAATTGATATGCTATGCTTGCAATGCAGAGATTTTTTTTTAATCAGATCCCCCAAAATGGGATAGCTGATGGCTTGGCAGCAACGTAGGACACCTTGGAGTTTTTCTATCATCAAACACACCAGAATCCTACGTATTCTTTCTTGCCACAAAAGATGCCTGGTCCCCAACTGACTGCCTGCTAGACTGGAGGATAACACCTTCAGTAAAGCAAAGCACTTCAAATCTTGAAGTCTATTGAGTTTCAAGATAGACAGCAAATCAAGAGGAAGGCATCACACCAGGCTTCAGCAAAGATGAGGTTGAACCTAAAATTCATCATTTTTTGTGAGGGAACCCAGCTACTACTGCAGGGGGTCAGAAGATTACAGTGAGGACAAATGCTATAATCCTAAAGGAGGCAGCAGAGGATAGTGTATTCAAAGCCTCTGGATCCTGTAATGAAAGAATGACCCTTCAAAAGCACCTTAAAAACCATACTAAAATCTCATGTAAGATACTGCTACATATATTAAGTCATACCTATACCATACATAGATTAAAATACGCATTATTTTGGTATCACTACTGATACAAATGAACTAAAATGCAATCAATACATTGATCCCCCTTTTATTGAAATTACTTGTCTACATATGACACTTGGTTATGGAGTACCATAATCTAGCTGACTGCCTGAATTCTCACTGTTGTCTTCTTTATAAAGTCGAGAAATATACTGTCATAATCCACACATGAATTACAAAGACACAACAAATGTACATTAAGAATACAATCAGTCCCTTACCTTCTCTTTCTGGTGTAAGCTTTTGTTTAAGAAGGTGATTGACAATGGTACTCAAGCATATGTAACACTGACAACCCATCGTGTTCCAGTTTATGGTGTTCAGGACATTAATTGCCTCGTGTATCTGATCATAACAAACATACTGGTGGATGATTTCCACAAGGCCCAGCTGTCCTCTTGTGATCACACCTTTACAGGAAATATTAAAACCAATGATAGTGTTATGAGTATGCAAACCTGTAGCTGACTACTTTTCAAGCACAGTTAAAAATAATTGCAGTTGGTTAAAATTATGAAGTTTAAGTTAATTGGTTTCACTATTAAATTTTTATGTGAGATAGCTCCTTACTATATTGGTGTATTTAGACTAAGTGCTTTGGACAGCGGAGAAAAACCACCAGTGAACTTCACACATGGAGGTTAGGCAAATGTGGCCAATAAGTATTAATGACAACATCATGTAATTAAGTTTGTTTTAAACATGGTAGAAAAAACTTATTCCCCATTTATCATTATTGTATTGGAAGTAATAAATTCATGTTCCTTGCATCTCCTTCCTGTGGGGAAATACTGCTGGACAGCACTAAAAAATAACATTTGTCTTACAGAAACATACTCGTGTATCCAAGTTTACAGAAACTCAAACTTCAAAGCAGCTGTTACTCAATCACTCTCCATACTGCAATTGCTCCAGAACTTCCTTCTAGCTTGGCAAAATTCTCTAAGTGAAGTATTTCTTCTGTGAGAGGTTATCATGAAAGATATCAACATTTAGGGACCTTTGAATTAGTTGCACATGAAACCAAGAACATGCTTGCCATAAGGGAAAAAATAACACTCCATAAGAATGTGGTTTATCTACAGAACTCTATCTCTGAAAAGCAAAAATTAAAAAAACCCCTCAAATTTTCCTGACTTGTAAGTCTCAGCTTCTGAACAGAAAAGGTGACTGAAAAGCTGCAGGCAGTAATGTTTTTTAGTCTCTGACTACCCATATGATCGTGTGACACAGATCACACATGGCATTTTAGCAATTTTTGCTTGCTTTGGGTCAATGTGCTAGAGTATTCTTTATTACTACAGCTCTAAGTATTAGAGAGAGACCAGAATAAATTTACTATTCCCCACTCTTTAAATAAAACATAATGTTTTTTTTTTCTCAATTTATAATCTGATGTTGTCAAAACTAATTTTAAGGAAAAAATTCTGATGAGAAAGGGAATAACCTGAATTTCAATACTGATATTAAAGCCATAGGACAGCTGGGGGAAAAAAAATCTAATAACAGAGAAAAGTAGACCGGATATATACGAAACATACCTTGCAAAATTTTCATAAATGCAGTTGTCAATATTGTTTGTGATTTAAAATAAGAATTGAGGGAAAAAAAGGAAAGGAAAATATCTGAGTATAGGTCCAGGACAAGTAACCTGCTGAGAACTTGCATATGCAGATCTGACCTCTTTTTTTTTTTTTGTAACAGAGAAATACTTTCGTTTTTTAATGCCATTAAAGAAAATACATGTTTTTCTACTGTTTTTCACTTTCATTTACATGTATTAAAGTCTATGGACATAATACTGAGTAATAGCCATGTTTAACTTGTGTATGTGTGATAATATCTAATTGTTATGGAAGACTTTATTCTGCCTAAATGTTTAGTGTTTTTAAAGTATTACATAAGTTGGGCAATCTTCACATTAATCACTAAGTGAAGATGAAAATACTTATTTGCATGCTAATTAAATATAATATTTAAAATTACTTTTGAGGCCATCAGTGCTGAACCACTGGCACCAGCACCAAGTTTGGAATTATCCAAGATCTTGGTTGACATCATCAACAAGAAGCCACAGTGCTTTTGAAAGTTGTTTTGGCATTAGACACCAAAAATATCTGTCATTAATGTTTGAGAGTAAATTTAATATGAAACTTCTCCTGAAATATATCTGGCTAGACAGCACAATGGAGAATCCACAGAACTTGTACAAAATCGTAATATGTCAGCTGGAAGTTAAAAACATATTTGTCTATTCTCATTGACATAGTTTCTTAACAGACTTTTATGGGAAAAAAATCCAAGCCATGAGTTACTTATGGATTTTATTTCAGTCCTGAATGTCTGTCTGGGTTTTGCTTTCATGCTGTCCATGCTGCCATGGACCCCTAGATCTTCCATATAATTTATATTTGCATTAATTCTTAAATAGCAGAGACCTAAAATCTGCTGAGGTTGGGAAGCAGATCTGGCTGCTCAGCATACCATTACCTTGGTAGTGTAGCAAACTGAGGAGAGAGGGGTAAAGCTGAAAACCAAGATGCAATAGAAAACAGCATATTTTGCACAGTGGACTATAAAGAGAGAGGGAGGGAGGGAGCGTTGCCTTCTTTCTAGAAGAGATTTTACAGTAATTATAGAGAATGAATTTTAAAATGTGATAACTTTCAGCTGTAGAGGTCAACATCTTCCCATTTGGATGCTAGACTTCTCCTGGGTGGTGCGCTTCCAGGCAACCTGCTTGGGAAAGAGGTGACAGCCAACTCACTGCCTAATTGATTTAGGAATGGTGCCCAGGGAGACAGTCCAATTAAGTTTACAAGCTGGCAATTAGCAGGAAAGGCCTCTAAATCCCTGCACTGAGAGCCTGCTTGCCTTCGTAAGAACATAAATGTGCTAAAGATAGCAAAGGGAAAGCTGTGCTTTCTGGAAAGCTGTTGTGAGAAAAACCCACAAGGGAGGACTGAAGAAAAGCAAGGTAGATGTGGGTAGAGTGCCTTCTGCTTGACAGGTAAGAGGTAATTTAGAGGGTTTTTTTTAATGGCCAACATGCACAAAACCATCAAATAGCTGTTATAATTAGTGTTCTGGGGTACTCTGCAACTATTAAACCTGTCATTTAACATAATGCAGCTGAATTATCTCAAAAGAATTAATAATTTGTGAAGTTTTTTATTAGTTCTTTTGGATAACAGTAATAATCTAGATCAGCTCTCTAAAAGCCATACAACTCTGAGTCAATCCAACTTTTTTTTTTGCTAACATCCTATTATATTAATTTACCTTTTCACAGTGGCATATTTAGTTAAGTTTTTTAAATTCAGCCTTTCAGGTCTGCAGTACTTTTAGACAGGATTTTCCACCACAAAAGCACATGCGTGTCTCAGTAAGTAAAGAAATAAAGCAGTTTTCAAACCTTACTGTCACCTAGTTGGTTTGTTGGGTTTTTTTAAAAATGCTTCTTCCTAATCTCAATAGCTTTATACAAAAGAATCATTAAAAATTTCTGTAAATATCTACAAAGGCAACCCTGTTTCCTGGGAAAGACGATGGACAAAATGCTAAAATTTTCCATATATATTCCAAGTATATTTGACATGCCTGTCTGCCCTGCTGAAACACTGGCTTGGTAGTCAGAAGATTTAAGCATGATTGGTTTTTTTAGCTCTCACAGTGGGTTTGTACCACTGTAACTTGCCTGACTTGAATGGAATGAATACAGTTCTCACTGATGAGCAACTGCAGGGTTTTATTTAGTTCACCCACTGGCTTGTTGCATAACTCTTTGAAAGCCTTTTAGCTTTCCTTTACTGCTTCTTGTTATCCTGTTTGTAAAATGGAGATAGTTACGGTTTTACTGTTTTAGGGTTTCCTTACACCTAATAAGAATTGCTATATAAATTCCAAAATTAGTATTATTGCTTCTTATTAACAACTCCTAGCAAATTAATTGAGAGACTGAACTTCTCTGAGGGTTATGAAACCTTCCTTCTTGTGTGAAAAGTCTTCAAGGAAAGAAATGGTGTAAATTCATGTACTAAAGTCAGGAAGAACAGAGTAGTGGGACAAATACACATTGTAATGGGAAGGGCAGTTGCATCATACACACAAAAAAGTAATTTAGGAAAGAAACTAGGATTACTATTCTATTATTACATATAGCTTATTTTAGCTTGTTAGGGGTAGCACTACAGAATGAATACAATTCCTAAAATTATATACTACAGATTAAAAGAATTTTCTCTATGAGAAACTGTTATGCTACAGTAAGAGTAGCAGGGAACATAATGGAATCCTGATCCAACAACAGATCAGACCCTATTCTGTCAGATCCTATATGAAAAAAAATCAATTGTGAATCATAATGAACTCCTTGGTTTACATCTTCAGATATCACTGGAACTATGTACTTTTAAGGCTGCGGTCCCATATAATAATAAAATGAGGGTGTTTCAAGTTACAAAAAACTTGTGAGGTACAGAAGTTTCCTTGAGAGCTCAAGGTTCAATAGACATGCTCAGTAACTTACCAAGTTTAAAGTGAAGAACTCCTAAGGGTCCTTTGTCAAATCTAACCAACAAAAGATCATGAATATCCGTGCTGTCAGTGTTGGCAGATGCAACCTGAGGAGCAGCCCACTGGATCTGGATGAGGCTGTTAGGCACGTCAAAGTGTTTACTGAATTGCAGAGTTGCCTCAGGTGAATAGTCTTGTGCTAAGAGCTGAATTTTAATTGGGGACAGTGCTGTGTCAAAAAGTTGCAGCTCCCCTTGAGAGCTGCCAACCATGAATATGGCTCCGGAAGGGTGGTAGCTTATTAAAGCAGGCAGCAGTTCTGCTTGAGCTAACAGAGTCACTTGGTTGTAGGCTTCATACAGAATTACTGATGAATCTTCACAACCCAGGACAAGTTTGTCTTCTGTAACATCTCTGCAACAGCTGATGGCCTTGGATCGTAGTGGTATTCTGGTGACTGCTGCACACTGAATTTTGTTCCTAACACACTTGTAGACGCAGCTGTCAGCCATGGGCTCTTTGCCTGCAGAGGTGGAGTGCTCTACCGTGTATACTTGATAAGGCTGATTAGTACTGAAGGTAGCATCCAGTGGATCCCATTCTGTACGGACGTAACTCAGAACCTGAAGAAAAATCCAAATCATTTTGTAGTCACTTGTAACAATTTGTTCTTACTGTGAAGATTTCAAAAATAAGACTGCTGTAAATATGCTTTCTCCTGGGTCAGCAAGCTAAAACAAATACACATTTTAGAAATGGAGTTGCAAAATCTACTGATTTAACTTTTAAAAGGTAAATTTGTTTTGATTTAAAAATCCTGCAATATAGCTATTTGAGCCATATTTGTTTGTCCAGAGTATGTAATAGGTTAGCAGAATAGAAGATAAAAGAGGGGATGGTCCTAACAGTGTTGGTAAGAGGAGAAATGAGCAGCAGACTGATATAAAAGAATAACTAATTATTCACAAGTGGGGTGGGGGAAAAAATCCCAAAATTTCTGGAAAAATTTATAATAGGTTACTCAGGTAGAGGATTTTTGATTATTTGCTCTGGGCCATGGTAACAGAAAATATTACACTGTATGGTATAAACAATGGCATGTTTAAACACTGTATACTATACATTGCCAGATGAGTAGGTGGTAGATGTTCTATGGTGCCATATAGCAAATAAATGAATTTTCAATAGCAGAAAAAGGGGACCAGGGTACTTAAAAGTTGAATGAACTGGAAGAAGAACACAACAGCAGAATATGATACAAAGATAGCAGCTGGCAAAAAGCAGGAATTTTTAGTGTGGAAACATGGGAAGTATCAAAAAGTGATGAAGGCAACAGTGGAGACCAATGAAGATTCATATCCTAAAATATATTTGAGTGAGAGGTGTTGCACAAGACTTGAGCACAGAAACTGTGGGAGAAATACCAGCTGTAAATAAGTACAAATGAGCTCATGAAAGGCTGTTTCTCTGAAAGAGAGAGAAAATGAATGTCTCTAGAAGAATGAGAGTAGTGGAAATCAGACAGAAACTTGCTGGTGTTTGTTCAGGCAGAAATAAAGAGTGAAAGGAAAATGTCAAACTGAGCCAAACCCCACCCTCAGGTATACCCATAGCATTCTTCACACTATAAACTAAAGCTGCTGACCTGCCACTAATTTTGGAAGCCCCTTCTTTTCAGTCCAGGTGGTATGCAAGTAGTATTTACACAGAAAGGGGTAACAAATGTGATTAAAAGGTAGAGAGAGGGCAAGGGAGGAAATCTGGAAATTTCAGGTTGAAAACAGAAATGCACACATAATGTTAAAGCAGTTTAAATTTGATTTTCACAGATCTCAATATCAGCTGAACACATAATTTAGGCATTCATCCTGCAAAGGAGGAGAATAAGAAATTAAGATCTTTTTGGCATACCACTCATTACTTCAGAAGCAACTGATGAATTTATAAATTTATTTGGGATGTTGATCAGACTGACTAGGGTGTTTTGTTCTGACTACTTATTTTGTCAGCAAAAGGGTTTCTCATTCAAAAGAAAGAAAAAAGGACTATTGCAATTCTCTGGCTGCAAACCAGCCACCAGTTAATACAAATATCTTGGCTACTTTAAGATGCGTAGTTAGGGACATGCAAAGAACCACTTAATGCAAAAGCATCTAATGCATCCAATGCATTCAACCTGTGAAAACCAGGTAGACTAATTTCAAGAGAGTAGTGATCAATGCAAACATACACCAAAGAGGAAATAAAACATTAAATTACTTATATAGTCCGAAAAACATTTTCTCACCTCAACCATTCCCTCACCCATGACTTAGCCTCTGCAACTAGTCATTTATGCCCATAAAATGTGCAGTGGCTACCGTGCAGATGTTAGAACTGCTGAAATGTGTAGCTTAGTCGGGTGTTAAATTGCAGAGCAAGGAAACCTGTAAAAGAGGTTATTGTGGATAAAGGATTACTGTGACCACAGAGCTCTCTAACCCCAAATAAAGACAAGGTGAAGTGTTATTGTTTGTTCTGCAGTTTTCCCTAAGAGTATGTATAGAGACCTAGGTAACTGCCTTTCAAATACATGAAATAGAAATCTTGCCCAAGCAAGTCTTCAAAGCTTCCATAACTTCAGTGAAATGAGCCTTGAGGCCCTCTGGGACTCAGATTTCTGTCTTCCTGTGGCAGGTTTCAATGCACTGTATTATTCATCTACATGTTTTAATCCAAACCCAGTGCTCCTTTCTGGACACCTCTTTACAAGCTACAAGAAAGTCACAAAGATCCACACAATAATCAAGCCTATGAGAGATGAAAGACTGAAAGCACTATTAAATTCTGAAGAGAAACTGGCCCTGAAGGTTAAGACAATGAAGAAGAAAACATGTGAAACATGGATTTTACAACTCCATAGGAGTGACTGCTGGAAAACAACAATGGAAATAATCACAGAAAAATAAATATTTTCATCTGATTGTTTGAGAGTCATCAAGCAAACTAAATCAAATGAATATTTTGTTCTGCCTTGTTAGAGCAAAAGTGGGACAAAATGTTGCTCACTACTTTGAATTTAAAAGAAAGTAAAATCTTATATTTTGGAAGGCTAATTTAATGAGCCTTGAGAAGAGAAGCTTCCTAGCTTCACATAATTTTGAGAGCAAATCCTTGAAATGAAGTCTAGAGTAGGGCTTGTTGCTATATAACACAGTTCTAAACTAGGAAAAAGTTCCTATGAGGAGAGGAAAACTCTCTGCTGCACTTCAAAACAAAAGTTTTGACATAATGTTTAAACAAATTACACTTAAAGGAAACTTTTCTAGACACTACTGTTCATATTCTGGCTGAAAACAAGAGAAACATTTCCTAGATTGGAACAGATAAGCTGTTTCTCATGCATCAGTGGCCTCATGTGCCTCTTGGAGGAAGAGTACCAAGCTGAGAGACCTCTTTGTTCTGGTTTCCAGTTTTGCTGAATGTAGTTGGTATTTAGCACTCTGAAGGGGAAAAAAATGGATATTCTATTTCATCTGAGAGGGAAGATTTGAGTTTCTCTCTCAGAAATTACTTTTATTATTAATTCTTCACTAACTGGAAAACTAAAACAGAGACATACAGACTACAGAAATATGTTAATAAGGCTAAGATAATGCTTTTGAAAGATAAGAAGTCTAACAATCAAAACATCTTTTTTTTTTTTTTTTTTTTTTTTTTTTTAA